CCGTGTGTGGAGTGTGTCTGCCTTTTAGGGACAGTTAGCCAAACCTTCCTCTGGGAGCTCTCGCCCCCACCCCCACCACGCCCACACACATTGACCCCTGCTCCTTGGTTGCTTTTACTTACACCTCTGCCCTAATACAGCCTTTGAGACAAACCTGGGCCCATGATTGTTCCAAAGGGTGCAGGGAGCCCCACTGTGCTGCAGGGAAGGAGGCAGGGCCTGCTGGCCAAGGAGGGACAAGGGCTCCCAGAGCTGCTACCCTTGGCTGTGGAGTTGGTGAGAGGTTGCCCACATCCCGGGGGTACCAGAGGCTCTACAAAGAAAAGCTGTCAAAGACAGGCTGGGGACCCCAGGGTCAGAGGCTGCCCTCCTCTACCTGGGCTTGTTTCCCAGAAACCCCAGAGCTGGAGAGCCCTTGGCGGGCCGGGTGGGGGTTGGGAGGGTGAGCTCAGCCTGACCTCTGCACAGCGGACAGATCTCAGTGTTAGGACACCCCATAGAGGCAGCAGTCTGTAGTTACCCTGCAGGAGACTTCAGCTGCCCTGAGGTGTTGGGGCCCTGGCTAGCTGACCTTGGGCCCTCTACAAGGTATCCCTCCCCTACCCGTAGTCACCCCTTTGCCTTCTCCTGGCTTCTGGCTGTCTGTGCACACCCTGGGCAGCTTTCTAGACTCTCCGTGTGCAAACCTCAACCTTATCCCAGCCCCTATACCAGTGGTGACAGGGTGCCTGGCAGCCACTCTGGTCAGTGAACCCTCAGGAGCTATTCCCAGAGGTGGTTTTGGGTCAGCAGGCATCTGCACCCTGGCATGGCTGCCTGGGAGCACCGTGCTGGCCTTGGCAGCATCCCTGGCCAAGGCTGGAGCCAGCAGAGCTGTGATGATGACCTGCAGTATGTAACAGAGAAGGGCAGGGTGACCAGGGGCTCCCGTTCAGGAAATCCGGTTTCAGTTTTGCAGAACAAATGGGGAATGGAGCAGGGAGCTCTGCAGAGGCCTGGCTCTCCCTGAGTGACCCAATCAGCCTTACTAGGGTGGACTGAAGGAGGTTGGGACCCATAAGAGCCCTGCCTGGAGGTGGAGCCTTATCAGACAGCTTAGTCTCACCCAGAGGTCACTGGTGAAGGGGACCTGCCTTAACTGCTCATGACAAACACAGTCCTGGGGCCTGGGGAATGAGACTGCTGCCAAGCTCGACATCTGTTCCACAGCAGTCCCCTCTACCAGCACTTTGAGCTCTGACCTTTGTATGCCACCAAGTTGAAGTAAGCATCCCCAGGCCTCTGGCAGGCTGCACAGGAGAGATGGTAGGCAACAAGGTTTTGGCATCTGAGCACCACTGGCTTTGTGTTGCCACCAGTAAGGGTGCAGTTAGAACCGTAGCTCCGTGTGGTTTGGAGCTCAAGGGACTCTGCTCAAGTAGATGGGGCCAGCCTGGCTCTGGAGAGATAGCCAGCCAGCCACTGTGGCCCAGCTGCCCTGCAGAGAGCAGTTCCTGGCCCCTGGGGCAGTGTTCTTCCCTTTCCCTTTGGTCTTAGCCAGGTGCCCTTTCCAGCAAGGCGAGGGGGAGGAGGAGGGGGGTGGAGAAACTGAGACCCCACCTGGCTGGGGGTGGAGCTTCCCTCATTATTCTTTTTCCCCTAAATGAATACAAGTGACTTACCCACCCTAGGACCATTTCTCCCAGCTTTTCTCTAGCTTGACTGTCAGTGGGGGAGGGGAGCAGCGCGGCAGCCTCAGCGCTAATCTGTTCCAGCGCAAAGGGACAGCTGGGACAGCTAGCAGGAGGGCGAGGGTCCCGGGTCTCTGGCCAACCTCTTGGCCTGGCATTGAACTTTCTGTCGGGGCAGATGCTGCAGTGGCCGGGCAGTGGTAAGCCTCTCTCTCCCCTCTCCCCTCTCCCCAGCCCTCCCTCCTGTCTCTGCAGCTCCCTGGCTCAGTCCCTCCCGCCCCCACGGCTACTGGGCACATTCTCCTTTAGAGCTCGCCAGGAAGCAAGACGTGTGTGCAGCAGCGAGGGAGGGGTGGTGCTGGAAAGGGTGGGGGCGAGGGGACTGCAGCGCTGAGCAAAGTGGGGCACAGCGGCCGGCGGCGCGCGTGCACACACATACACACGCGCGCCCGCGCACACACACGCCCGCCCGGAGCGCAGCCGCAATGCGGGGCCCTTCGCGGAAAGGCTGCGCGGGTCCCGCGGGGCTCTGGGACGCCCGCCCCGCGCTGCAGCAGGACCACGGCTATTTAGAGGCATGCGGCCCTTCCCTGACGCTCCGAGCCGGGGCCTTGAGGCGCAGCCCTCCACTTGCGTCGCCCTCCTGAATCCCCGGAGCGCTCTCCGCCCCTCCCCCACCCCAGAGCGGAGACTGTTTGGGGACGAGAATTTCTGCCTTCCTAGGATTTAAGCAATGGATTTGTTTGCTAGACTAAAGGCTGGTGGGGGAGGTCTGCGGCCTGGAACGCAGCGGACCCACGCGCACGCGCATGCGCACGCAGCAGCTGAGCGCAGTCTTTGTCCCAGCGTGCAGTCTTTGTCCCCAGCCTTCAGCCTTTGTCCCTGAGGCACAGCTTTGGTTTGCGCAGCCCCACCTAGCTGCTGTCGAAAAATCTTCCCCGAGGAGGGGACGCAGCACCGTGATCCCCCTTCCACACACGTTCCCAAAACCTCAGCTGGGGCGCAGCCATCGAGAAAAGAACGGGCATAGAAATGGGGGAGACGGTAGAACCAGGAGGAGGTGTTGGTGTGGGAGTGCAGCCCTCTGGATACGCGGGCTGCAGCGCCTCCTCCAAACCTAAGGGGTTTTCCCCAACCTTTTTGATGAACCTCCGGTGGCCACAGGCCACCCTTGCCAGAACCCCAATTCCCTAGCACAGGGCGGCACCATGGTAGGCTATATATTTATGGTATGAAAGCAGGCATGAAAAAAAATGAGTGCAGATGAGACCCATCCAACCAGTTTATTAATCCAGGGTAGTGGCCAGAAAAGCTTCACCTACTAATCAAGGTCCTGGTGAGACCTGAAGCTTGATTAGGCATCAGCAAGAGAGAATAGATATCCCAGGAGAGGGGCCAGCGAGTAGGGAAAGGGGAGTTGCCTGTGGTCAGGTCTCTCTGGAAACTGCCATTTTTATCATTTGGCCTCCAGAGGTCCAGGTATGGCACTCCAGGGTGGTCTGAGGAGGCTTGCAAAGGGAATCTTCTGGGCTGGAGGTAGGCAGGAAAGGGGGGGTTACCCTAGATCTGGAGTCTCTGGGAAATATCACGTCTGCCTGCAGTGTGTCTTATGGATACAAGCAGTCAGGCTGTGCGGAGCTCTGGGCGGGTGGTGCAGGCTGTGTAGGCTGTCTTGTCTGTGCTTGTGTTTGCAGAGAACACTGCAGCCCTGGAGCTGAGAGGGTGGGGCAGGTTCTCATTGGTCAAAGGCATTGGAACACCTTTAAGTGGCCCCTGCCCTGGAAGAGAAGGTGAATGGAACTCCTGTGCACCCCGTTCTTTCTCTTCTTTTAGCCCTCTGATTCTCCCAAGGCCAGGTTGAGAAGATTCAGGGTCACCCCAGCCCCACCCTACTCATCCCCTTCTTGGAACCCCACTAAGCTGCTTATGCTTAGACTATTTTCAATTGCTTCTCTGACAACAGAGCCTACTGCCGGCCGGGGTGAGAGGATGGGAGTGAGCCATTGAGTGAGTTCACTGAGGTTGCAGTTTTCCTGGGCATCCTGGGCTGGTCACCTTGGCAGGCCTGTTGATCTCCAGTTGGGAGGGACCCTGTCATCTCAGGTAGAGGGGGAAAGCAGGGACTGACAGGTTAAGCTGCATTTCCAGGTACCTGGTTCCCTTGCCAACCTCTGGGCAGGCTGGATGTCCCAGAGAGCCTGCCCCTCGCACTCACCAGGAGCATAGAAGGGTATTCTCTGACTTCTGGGGCAGATTGGCTCTGGGTTGGGTGTTCGGGAAAACTGAGAGCCTTGACCCTGTCTAGGGAGGCAGAGAGAAGGAAAGGCAAGACTCGGCCTCCCCATTTGGCTTTCTGATTTGACCCAGCCCTCTGTGATAAGATGGCAGATTGGCAGCAGGGGTGGGTCCCAGTTCTGCCCCAGCCCTGCCTTCAAGCTGCAACATGTTCCTGACATGTGCCTGCAGTTCTGCAGGCCTCCCCACGGTGTGCCAGCTCCTAGCTCCACCCCAACCCACCAGGGCTGGAGACCACACACTGACCTAGAGACCCTGGGTGCAGTCTAGGGACAATGGGAGAGGCCAGTTATCTGTGGAAGGCATTTGGTTACTTCTTTTCCTCAGGGTAGCTCTCTGATGAGTGTGTGCCAGCTTCTCCTGGGCTGCCCTCTTCCTCTCCTCCCTCCCAGCCCCCCTTGCAGTCACCCTCAGCCAGGCCCACTGCGTGACACAGAAGAAGACTGGCATGGGCAAACAGAGGTGGAGAACAATCCAAAAGCATCTCTTTCCCCAGCTGATGGGGAAGGGGGTAGTTAAGTAACTTAGCCATTGAATAATTTTAAATGCCATTGTTTTACTGAAACAGATATAGTTTATTTTATGGCATAGAATCCAAAATCCACAAGAATTTTTAAAAGAAGACAAGATAAGACGCCATGAGCCAATTGTCTTGACTTGGAGAGTGGCTCTGAATGACACAGTCCATGCTCACCCTCTCCTGCCTCTAGGGGCACTTTGAGGAAGTTGGAGACCCTCCGTCCCAGGGGCCTGGTGGGCAGTAAGTGAGCAGGAGCCCTGCCCAGAGCTTGCTGAAGTCCATGTGGAGTGGGGTCTGGACAAGCATGAGCCAATTAGTGCTTGGGCCTCTGGGTGCTTCTGTGTGTAGCAGTGACCTGAGGGACACAAGTGGCAGGAGCAGAAGAGGTTCGAGCCAGTCTTACACTTGAAGCTGAGTGGCGGGAGGAGCACCCTCCTGAGCCCAGCCAGCGTCTTGCTGCAGTCACAGCCTCCCTCCTCATCACCAGTCTCCTGTTCTCCGTGGGGACCGCAGCACCGTAGGTCGGAGGAGCGTCCATCTGCGTGGACCTCCAGGCTCTGTTGGAGTGCTCTCCTTGGCACTGCTGCGGGTAGCAATCCTGTCGGCATCCAGTCAGAAGCATCTTAGCTATTGGAGTCCCCAAAGAGCTAGCTGCTTCTACCAAACCAGGGACCAAGGGGAGGCGACTTCCTGCTGTTTGCAACTGGGGTCCCACCAAGTGGATCCATGCAGAACCTCTCTGTGTAGGAGCAGAATGGGTCACCTTGGAGCTGGGCCTCACCCAGCCTCCTTACAGCAGTGACAAATGGGGCCCTGTAGATAAGTGGCACTTAGGAGGAAGCTCAGCCTCCCGGTGGAGGCTGAGGGGACAGCCTTTGCCACCCTCTCCTGACCATTAGGTAGGAGGCAAGAAGACAAGGTAGAGGAAGCTGGGGGTGGGGGCAGGGTGGGCAGGTGCAGGCTGCCCTTGAGGGCTTGTCCCCCACCACCTGGGGATCAGGTGGCTCATTCTGAAGCCTGAAGGTGAGGGGTTCAGTCCCTCCAGTGGACAGCACCACGCAATGTCTCCTGACCCCTGTACTCCATTCCCAGGGCTGCCGTACAATTTACCACCCACTACAGACACTTCTGTCAGCTTTGGAGGCTGGAAGTATGAACTCTAGGTGACAGCCAGGCTGGGATGCCTTTGGAGGCAGAGAGAAGAATCCTACCCTGCCTCTCCTGACTGCTGGTGGCCAACAGCCCTGGCCACACCTTGGCTTGTGGCCGCATAACTCCAGTCTCTGCCTCCATGGCCACGTGGCCATCTTCCCTAGATGTGTTTCCCTTTTTCTGTTCTTATAAGGACCCCAGTTGCTGAATTAGAACCCACCAGGTCCACTAAGGACTGGTCTTACTAACTGTAAGACCCTCTTTCCAAATAAATGACACCCTGAGGTTGTAGGTAGACAGCTTGGGCCATGTCTGTGGGATGGTGCTGGAGCACCCAGAAGAGCACCAGCCAGGGTCCTGGCCCTCAGGCCTTGTTGAAATCGGAGCTGACCCACAGAGAACACCACAGCCCCCTGAGGGTGTGCAGGCCCTGAGCAGGGGCACATGTACCCACCACTGTCGGGAGCCGGGCTCTTCCCACAGCCAGGGAGTCAGGGAACAGAGGTGAGCTGTTTTAAGGGGTGTGAAGGAAGTGCTCCTCCACTCCGCGTCGAGCGAACATTTATCCTGCGAACAGGAGCACGCTTGGGGCACATGCAGGAAGGGCGTAGACGGGGAGGCAAGCTCCTGCCTGGAGATCACTGTCCTGCTGGGATGCTTAGGGACAGCTGAGGACAACAGGACAGAGTGGGCCCTGGCATCCAGCTTCTGGCCTCCCACATCCACCCACTGTGGACACACTGACCAGCATGGCCCTTGCCAAAATGAACAGCGTGTCCTTGTTGACCCCATGGCCTGTCTGGTCCTCTGACCCACTCGTTGCCCCTCCCCTCGCAAGCCCCTCTGGCCCTGAGCGCTGCCACTCTGCACTCTCCTCCAGTCCCTTCCAACTCCCCTGCCTGCCTCTCCTCAGTCTATCACCCAGCTCCTTCTGGAAAGTTCTGTGTCCATAAGGCTGGCTCCCTTCTCCATTTACCCACTCTCCCTGAGGGTGTTCCCCTGACCCCTACACCAGGGCTCTCTCCACTGGTGCCCAGCTGGCTGCTCCTCTGTATTTCGCCTCAGAACCATCCAACTGCCCGGAGGAGAGTGCCACCCAGACTTCCTTAGGGCAAGCCAACGTGCCCCAGACAGGACACAACCAGTCTTGGGTTGCCACCCCTCCCACCAGCCCTCCCCTCCCAAACCTTCTGACCTCGGGGATCCCAGAAACTCACTAGGCACCCTGGGGGCGGTGCCAGCCTGGTGCCTTTCTGTCCTTGAATTCTCTCACCTTCTCCTTCCCTACCACCGCTGTCATTCAGCCCAAAATAATCCCAGAATGCGTCCTCCCCAGTCTCCTGGCCTCCTTCCCCTGGGCCATTCAATCTTCCATCATCCAGTAAATATGCACTAAGTACCTGCTGTGGCCTGAGCCCTGGGGAACACAGTTCTTGCAGTGTTTGTGTTCCAGTGGGGAGAAAGGCAGAGGACGGTGCCAAGTGCTGGCCAGGTGCGGGCAGGCCCCTTCCACTGGGTGGTCTGGGAGAGGGTGCCAGGGTGGCTACTCTAGGTTGGTGGTCACAGGGGCCTCTAGGAGAAGGCCATAGTGAAGCTGGGATATGAAGGACAGGAAGGAGCCAGCCACGCTAAGGTCCGCGGAAGAACCTTCCAGGCAGAGGGATTCGATAGAACAAAGCCCCCAGCCGGGGAGGGGTGGACTAGCCTGGCATGTGGGAGGGGCTGGAGAGGCTGCTGGGGTCAAAGCAGAGGAAGGGGAGGGGAGGGCCTGAGAAGGGGACCCGAAGGGCCAGTCATTCGATGCAGGGCACAGGGGTGGTACCCTGAGGTCAGTGGGTAGGTGCCATGGGAGCTGATGGAGGTGCTCAGTAGGGTGACATGCTCCTGGTATGTTTCACGGCCACCCTGGCCGCTGTCTGGAGAAGCAGTTGTGTCTGTACCTGCAAGAAGAACACCCTGAGGCTCTAGCATCAGTTTAGGCAAGAGACAGCTGTGGCTCCGACAGGCTGGTAATAATGAGTCCTAAGGTGCAGGGCAGCTTTGGGGGAATGTGTGAGGTAAAGTCAGGGATCCCGCTGGTAATATGAATGGGAGGATGAGAAAGAGGACCTGGACTTGTGACTTAAAGAGGTAGGGGGCCAGCGGGCCATTCCCTGAGATGGAAAAGTTTGCAGCCGCAAGCTTGGGGCCAGGGGATGTCTGGGCTCTCTCCACAGGTGCCCAGCCGGATCTGGTTGTTATGAGTGTCTTTTTTAGGGATGCTGAGCTCACAGTTGGCTTTGAAAGTCTGGAGGCCAAGGAGAAAGAGGCCCATGTTGGAGGTGGAACTTAGGAGTCACCAGCTCATAGATGGTATTCAAACCCACGGGCCCACCAACGGGTGGAGATAAAGGAGAGAAGCTGCAGGGTCAACATGGCCAGCGCAGCGTTGGGATGCCAAGCAGAGACTGGGGAGTCCTTGGGACAGAAGGAGGACCAGGAGGAAATGATCCTGTTGAAACTAAGGAAAGAGGGAGTTTCAAGAAAAAGGACTTGATCAACCATGTCCAGTGCCAGCAGAGAGGTGGACGGTGCTCCAGGTGGAGGGGCCCCGTGTGGGAAGTGGGGAAGACAGCACCACTAGTTTTAAGGCCTGGAAGGGGCTGAGAAACCCAGAGGAGATGGTGCCAAGCCTGTCCCCGAGCTCAGAGCCACAGGCTGGGGCAGGACAGTAGAGGACAGCAGCCTCTCCGATTTTCACCTGGCCTAGGGGATCCTGTCTCCCACTGTCCTCACCCGCTCCCCACGCAGCAGGGAAGGACCAGGGCCAGCCTCTCCCGCCTTGCACCTCCGTGGGCCCAAGGAGGTGGCCTTCAATCTCTGGGCTCCTGGGATATCCCACAGCCCCCAAGTGCCGAAGCCACACTCCCTCTTCATTCTTCCCCCTGGGCACAAGGGCAGGAGATGAGCCCCAGGCAGGAGTGTGTTGATGACATCAGGCCCAGCAGAGACAGCTCTGGGCCCCTGGCCACTGAATGTCCCCGAAATGCGGGAACCCTGCACGTGGGAAGACAGCCTGCAGGCCTGCTCAGGCAGCTGGACCCTCACTCCCAAGTCACTGGTGGCCAGCTCCATTCTCCTACCTTGTTATTTGGAGGCTGGTGGTCATTGGTGCTCCACAAAGCACAGCCCCAAAGGCCACTTGGAAGCTGGGACCCCAGAGAGGCCATCGGGGTGGGATCAGGCCAGTATTTGGCTGACTTCTTTCGCCTTTTCTAGGATCAGGCTCCCAGAATCCCCCCCGCCCCGGAAAAGACTGGAAATGTAGGTCTGTTTATCCAGAAGTGGGGAGAAATGGCTCCACCTGAGGCTGACCAGACTCCAGAGCCTGGGCAGTGAGGAATGAAGAGGCAGGGGCCACGGGTGGGAGGAGCGAGTTTCTGCAGGTCCCTAAGCAAGGTGAGAGGAAGCACCTCGCACGTGATCCAGTCTTGCACACAACTGAGAAGGCGACACTCAGCTCTGACTGGGGCCAAGAGCAAGGCTTTTCCTTTTAAAAGCTCCTAAAAATACACTGATTTCTGATCCCTCCTGAGCAGCTCACGACCTCGTCCCCTGCCTCTGCGACACCAGGAGATTCAGAACAGTCTCTGATAGACTGAAGACCAGCTTCCTCCACTGCAGTAACCTGCCAGCACTTTCCAGGGGTTGTGAACTCTGAGTCCTTTGCTTGAGGGGGAAAAGTGAGGGCAGGTGTGTGTCGAATGTCCATACTTAAGGAACAACAGGGGACATTCCTAAAAATCAGCACAGAGCAAGCATCTCAGGATGCCAGAACAAACTAGAATACCAGAGAGTTAGAAGCAAGTTTGGTTGGCACATAGTCTACCTCCGCATCCTTCTAGAAGGACGGTCCCCAGAAGAGCAGGAACAGCCCAGACCCTGGCTGACTCCGGATGGAAGCTTCCTCCTTACTCCTCTTCAGCACATTCTCCTCCCTTCCATCTTCCCCTTCTCCATCTGTCAGCCAAGCCCACCTAAGCTCTCTAGAAGCCGGGACAGAAAGGCGGATGAGGAATGAGCCAGCTGAATCTGGGGCTGAGTGACAGGTTGCCGTTTCTTTGCAGAGATAATAGGCTTCGCCTCCCGTGACCCCGTGGATTGAGCGGATGCTCTTTCCCAGCATTCCTACCATTAAGGAAGAGGGAGCAGTGACCTGGCCCCACCACGCTCTCCAAGCCCTGTGCCCAGAGGGCTTGGTTCTCACACCAGAAAATGGGGAAGTCCCCAAAGAGACCTCAGGGTCTCTTCTCATACCAAAGCCTGAGATATTCTGGGATCTGAGCAAAGAATCCCCAGCCCCTCTCCTAAGTTGGCAGTGTTCTGGAGAGCTGGTGACATCCTGGCCTTAAGGCACCTGGGAGAGCTGGGGGCCCTCTGAACCACAGAGTGATGGCCTCTTTCGGCAAAGCCCACCTCCTGGCACAGAGTTGCCCACCAGGGGTAATAGCTGGCCTCTGCCAGTGCTGGCCACCCGCCTGGTCCCACCTGTAAAGCACTGATGTGCAAGGACACACTCAGACGTCCAACAACCGGAGGTCCCCGTGCTGCAGGTGAGGTCACCAGGACCCAGAGCCTCCCACATGGTGGTCCTACCCCGGCTGCGGCTGCCTGGCCCCTGCGCCATGGGCTCCCCTGCCTTGTCCCTGTTCCAGTGGCGCTGCTTCACAGCTGGAGGCACGCGGTGACCCTGCACCCCACAGCACCCGCTGCCCCATGAAGGGTGCCTTCTTCTCTGCCTTCCCATCACACTTTCTAAGAACCCCCATTAGCAGTTTTTCTCTGAAAGCATTTTATTCAACAACCGTTAATGGAGGGATCTCCCATGAGGTGCCAGGTGCTGCACCAAGTGCCAGGAATCAGAACCCTTTGAAGACAGGAGGCCCGCGCTCCCTGGGCTTTACCGACCCGTGGACAGGTCACAGCTGAGCGCAGGCTCGGGCACAAACGGCACTTGGAGAGCTTTTCCCAGGGGTCTTCCCAGGAGGTCTCGGAGGGTTTTCTTGAAGAAATGACCTTTGAACTGAGATCTGAAGGAAGAGCAGAAGTTGACTCCATGGAAACAGGGATGGCAGGGCCAGGCTGAGGGAACAGCACGCGCAGGGCTCTGTGTTGGGAGGTGGCGGGGAGCGGTGGCCAGGCTGGAGGAGGCAGGAGGGGCACTCGCGGGCGGGGCTGGGCGGGAGGGCCTGGAGTGCTAGCTTTCGGAGAGGGAGGCCATTGAGGGTTTGAGAGGCAGTGACGTGCCCCGGCTTGCTTTCTGAGACATGGGCTGGGAGAGCAGACTGGACAGGCGAGTGTGGACAATGAACCTGTCCAGGCTCAAGGCCATGGTAGACTTGGCAGTTCTGGGAAGAAGAACGAGTTGAGGGACACAAAGAGGTGGTCTCTGTAGGACACCTGGATGGATCAGCTGTGGGGGCCTGTGTCATTCACCTTGGATAAGGACTGGTCATGAGTTGGGCTAAGCTTCAGGGGCCTTTGGAACAACCCTGAGAAAAGTCAACGGCAAGTGGGTACAAGAAGAGAAGAGGGGCTCAGAGAAGCCCGTGGGCAGGAGAGGGGTGTCTGAAGTGTGGGCCTAGGGGCACTGCATGAAATGGGTCTCTGGATGTGGAACAAATGGACAGGGGTGAGAAAGAGTCCAAAAGCCAGGGACTTTTCTCTTGATCATCTTTGTGCCCCAATGTCTGTCACAGTGAGGCCAGAAATGTAGTAGCTTCTCAATCAACATTACTTCAAGGGATGGGCTGATGGATGGATAGATGGAGGCCATTGTCCTCACTGCTAAATGACTTCAGCATCAGCCTGACGTCCTCCCTGATGTCAGCCGTCTGAGGATGGGGTCTAGAACTGATCAGGCACCACTGCCCCTTTCTGGTCTCCCTCTCACCGGATGCTTCAGGCAAGTGACCCAAGAAAAGAGTGCAAAGCTTGCCGGGCACAGTGGCGCACACCTGTCATCCCAGCAGCTCCGGAGGCTGAGGCAGGAGGCTGAGCCAGCCTTAGCAAGGGAGAGGCACTAAGCAACTCAGTGAGATCCTGTCTCTAAATAAAATACAAAACAGGGCTGGAGGTGTGGCTCAGTGGTCGAGTGCCCCTGAGTTCAATCCCTGCTCCCCCCCCACCAAAAAATGCCAGAGCTTTCTTTATTGAACATGCCCCCAGGCTGCCTTCAGAGCCCTTAGGCACCCCCCACCTGCCCCGCAGCGGGAGAAGGAAGGGAAAAGCAGTCTCTGACCGGAGACATTCAAACCTGGTGTCGATAAGAAGGAGACTTCTCTGCCAGGCCCCTGGCAGGTCACTGCATGGTGACTTGCCATCCGGGGGGCATGAGGTGGGGCTTTGTGAGCCTGTGATCCCCCACTGCCTGGCTAGTTCCTCTTCAGCCCGGGTAGAGCATGAGTGAGTGAGCGAGGGGCTCGGTGGGTAGAAGAGTCAGTGGCCATGGAAGTCTCCCCATCCCCATCCCTCCCCAGGGAACCCTGTGGCATGGAAACACACTGGCAGGACAGTGACACTGACAACAACCAGCCAGGTCCCGTGGCCAGAGCTTCACATTCATGATCCTGTTGAGGTCTCAACACCCACCTCCTTGGCCACCTGTGGTCTCAGGAAGTTGTTCTTAGGCAGATACCTCTCCCCTAAACTGGGCCATATACCATCATGGTGTAATCAGGCTTGGCAGTCTGCCCACCCACCTGTCATCCACTGACCTGCAGAGCTCCAACCACCCGAGAGCCACTCTGCAGGAACTGAGACTTTGCTCACTATGTCAGACCATTTTTTATTACTATAACAAATTACCCATAATTTGGGTGCATTATAAAGAAAAATGACTTATTTAGCTTATAGGTTCTGGGGGTTCAAGGGCATGGCACTAGCTTTGGCTCAGGCTCTGGTGAGGGCAGATGGCATCACAATACTGGAGCATGTTTAGGAGGGAGAGACCACCTCACCAGATAGGAAGCTAGACTAGTGGGGCAGACTTCCAACACATGACCAAGCCCAAACCCGAGTACCCATCCACCAGGCATGCCCCCACCCAAGCAGCTCATGGCTCAGGACAGGAGGCAAACAGGACAACTTGGGTAGTGTGCAGAGCACTCCACGAGCGGATTCTGAGTATTGGGGGAGGGGCAGAGGGTCCTCCACCCCTTCAGAAGGGGAGCACATGTCACAAGGGGTGACCCCGTGGGACAGCTGTACTGTCTGTTCCCAAGCGCACTCTTGGCAAGTAGAAAGGTTGTGCGAGAGTAGCCCACTGTGCGGTCACTGTCCACACAAGCCTGCCCTGCCTCGGATACCACTGCCAGTTCGGGGTACCAGGACTCCCACTTGACAATCCACTGGGAGGACTCAGCACACTCTGAAAGTTGCTAGACTCACAGTAGATGGCATCAGGAGGGCACAGGTTAAAACCAGCCAAAGGAGGATTGCACTGGGCAGAGTCCCCTAGGGGGCCAAATACGGAGCTGCCATGGTCCTCTGCCTGGGGAGTGGTACATAGCACTGCTGTCCTGACATTGATGTGAGACAGTCCCCAACTAGGCGTGTCCATTTGAGCCTCCATGTCCACGGATGTCAGTGAGGTTCCATTGTGCAGGCCCCTAATGGCTAAGGCAACCCCAGAATCAGCTGACCCAGAGCCCCCCACTCTACATCATGATATTGGTCTTCCTGTCATGGCCGACCACTACCCTAAAACACCCAGTGTGGCCATCTCCTACCCTAAATTAGATGGTTCGACCGTCCTGTGACCCAGGAGGGGAGGAGAAAGGCTGGACCTCTCTGGGGGCAAGGTTAAATCGGTTCCTGCACAGGAGGCCCTTCCCCCCTGCCCCCACCTGCCTCTCCTATTCCTTGTCTCAGGGACCAGATTCTGTTTGGTGTTTGCATCGAGGAGGGAGGACGGCTGTGTTCAAGACGTCATCGTTTTCAGAGCATTGCCCTACAAAGCTCTCGCCTAGCTTTCAGTGGTTCTTTGGAGACATGTTTTCTTGTGATACGTGGTTTGGGTGGATCATCCTTTGTCTACCATCGAGAATATTGTGCACAGCTCACATTTTCCCACATGGGGACGTGAATTAACTAGATTGCAGATCAGTCCACCTCAATATGAAATGAAAGGAGCGATTCCAGGAGCCTTGGCAGCTCAGGTGATTATTCTAATATATTATTTTAGTCACTCCTCTAAATCACTCCTCTGTGCTGTGACCTCGATGCTCTGGAAATGGACCTGCATCCTGCCTCCATTTTGTAGGCGGCAGCCGTGGTGGGAGCAGTGCTCTTGTTCCTAGTGCTCCCTCCCAGGGGCTCCGTTAGCTGCAAAGGCTTGAGAGCAGCTTTCTCCTGCCCCGCCTCTTGGGAGCTGGGGGCCTGGGAGCCCAGAACCAGCATCCCCTTCTCTGTGGCCGGTGCTTCTCTTCCTTCCCCCAGTGCTAATGGAACCTTATAAGTGGTGACCAGCTGGGTGTAGACAGGGAGGGAGCCTTGCTGCTCCATAAACTCACAGTTCAGGAAGAGGGAAGGCAGATGCAGCATTCACCCATCTTCTACGATCGTGACAGCTGAGTGTGATTCTTAAGGCACAAAAACTGCATCAATGCTCCTACTTTATATGCTTGGTGCTTTTCCTGTTTACTGGAAGGTCTAGCCTGGGTCACCTGGCAGCCAGAGCCAGTGGAAGTGGGTATGTGGCTGTGTGGAGGTGCGATGGGCAGCCTAGAAATACTGCAGACAGAGCCCCATGCATAAGTTTGGATCTGGTGCATTTGAAGTCCCCAAACCCAGAACTTGGAAATGATTGATGCTTTGTTTTGTTTGGTTGGTATTAGGAATTGAACCCATGCTTTACCACTGAGCTATATCCCCAGCTCTTTTTATTTTTTTATTTT